TATTCTGTTGTTCTGCACAAAAGGTTCTAGAGATACTGGAGACAAACTGGCCATTGAGAGTTAGAGGCATTGATGTGGATTTCTTTCTCCCTACTATGTGGTTTATATTTAAACGCTTAGGCTAATGCACACTAGACTTTTTGTGTAAATCAAAACCAAAAATTTTAAATTCTCTTTAGCCACCGAAACCGGCTAAGTGAAGGCTTACAGCATTACTAACCTAAGAGGTTCTGGGGCTTTAGTGAGAGGCATTGAGAATTACAGCAAAATGTGCTTGAAGGCCTGGTATTGATTTTTATTTTTACTTGAGTAGATCTTAGTCATGAAAAAATGCTTTCCTTGCCTTTTCTGGTTCACGTTAACCAATGTTGTCCTTGCCGGTTTGAATCTTGGGAAAACTTGAGTGTGGATTTATGGAGTATCCAAGAAAAGCATTGACCTTCCTTAGCTAGCATGAACTTGAACAGTGTGGTGCTCTGCTGATGCTTGGCACCACCTCCACATTTCAAAACACCGGTCTTGCCTGTGACTTCTCACACTGGGGACAGCCTGAATCACAGATCCAGTTCCTTTGTCTGCATGGGCACTCTCAGCCCCATGGCGGGGTCGGGTGAGGGAATAAATCTGTTTTCTCAGACCTCATCTGTGGTGTGGCTCTAAAGCATCTTTGTCAAAAATTCGGAGGTTAAGAGGACTTATTTGGCTCAGAAAAAGCGCTCCAGTTGCACTCCTTTCAGGACAGCTGAACAACTTGAAACATTTTGTTTCCTCATTGCAGCCCCTGGAACTTGTCATTTGATTTGCTAGAGTTTTGGCCAAGCTCAGTGGGCCACCTCTTAAGGGGAAAACACCAAACATGGTTGAACACAACACAGGCACTTCAAACAGGCTCAGAACACCACTCCTGAGACTGGGAAGATGGGACTGTTGACTAGCAATGGGCTTCTCAAGCTTTCTTGTGCACACAAGTCACCTGAGGCAGAGGCTTGTTAAAATGCAGGTTCTGATTCTGCTGGTCTGGAGCGGGGCCTGAGATTCTGCATTTCTCCCAAGCTCCCTGCTGAAGCTGATACTGCTGGTCCAAGGACCACACTTTGCAAAACAAAAGGTCTAAAGCACTTTCAACTGACAAATGGTCCACTCGTATGTTTTCTTGATGTCAGAACGTTTTCATTGCTGTCCAGTAGAAGCTGATGGCATCCATCTTTAGTTCTTCTGAGCTATAGACCCACTGATCCAAGAAATCCTCCCTTAAGACAACATCCAGTCACCTCAAACTCAACATGTCTAAAAGGAAACTCAACATCTTTGTCCTCAAGGCCTACCCCTCTTCTGGCCAACCTGGCTAGGAGAACAATACAACATCTATCTGGTTATACAACATCTACCTGGTTAGACATTTACAAGTCATCTTTGGTGCTCACCAACCCATCCCAACCCCATGATCAAATCCACACCAAGTTGTGCCCATTTGACATCTTAATCATCTCTCAGACCCATTAATTTCCTCTACTGCCACCACATTTGCCCTGGTCCAGGCTCCTGTCATCTTTTGTGTGAACCATTATACTGGGTTCCTACTCACCTCCACTTCCACTTTGTTCCCATCGCATCAGCCTCCGTGATCTTTTGCAACCCCAGTCTGTTCCCTATGGTTACAAGAGCTCAATGGCTTCAAATGATTCTGAGGATAAGTCCAGAATCTTTAAGGTGCCTAAGACCCTAAGTGGTCTATCAGAAATAGATCCCTCCTATCTTCTTTGCCCCACCCTCTGTGTACTCTGTGCTCTGGCTTCTTTCATGCGCAGGAAAGTGCCCTGTTCTTTTCTACCATAGAGTTTTTGTTCCTTCTGTTCCTGAAACATCCTCCCTAACACATTCTGCTCTCCCTTTGCCTAAGTAACTGAAATTAATCCTTCATATTTAAACTCCAGAAGCCATCCATGGCCATCCCTCTGAAACCTAAGTGAGTCCCCATAGTTTGCTATCCTAGGACTTCTGAGCTTAGAACCATATGGTTAATGTCCATTTCCCCATAGACTATAAGCTCCATTAGAGTGTAGACCACACCTATCTTAGTTTACCATTGAGTCCCCAGTGCCCAGCAAAATGCTTGGGACATTGAAGACACTTGGTGAGCATTGAATGGTCACTAATTGAATGAAATGGAACAAGTGAATAGACAGCTGCTCCCTCCTTTTTAATGCTGTCATCTGCACCCATATCTGTTACTCCGCTTAACTGACAGCTCCAATTAAACAAGACCTTTGCGACACCTCAATACCCAAAGTGATGATAACAGCAAGGTTATGGGAAGAGTTTCTCTTGAGTGAGGGCTGAGCTGTGCCTTTAGATGAACCTGCTATGCATCCAGCTGTATTGTTTCCTATACATTTTTCCCATGTTGCATTCCACAAGCCTCGACTCACATTGGCCGGCAAGGTCCCTAAGAGTTTTATCTGTGAATGTGGAATGATAACCAATATGGTGACTTCTGTTCTATAGGAGCCAGAGCTCCTATAGCTGCAAATAAAACCATCTGCAGAGAGACTGATTCATTTACGTGATCCTCCAAATCCTTGAGTCCCTGATTTCCCCCGCTGTTATAAAATCAGACCCACAGAATGGGGTATATGGAGTCCTTGAGAGATATAAATTGGAGGGAAACTTTAACCTTGATGTAGTGTTGAAGTTGGGACTGAACAGCAGCATTCTTCTAACCCCGCTTGTCTTTCTGAGTCAGGGAGCAGCTGTGATATTTCCTTTGAAAGAAGCAGAATGCTATAACACTTTGGATGAAAGACCTTTGAAGTGGCAGCTGGATTGTGAAGGATGAGTTATATTGTTAAAGAGCAAGTGTGCTATGCCATAACACCTAACCTAACTCCAAATGATGAGAAAGGATATGGTTTATTTAAATATGTAGTATACATATATAAAACAAAAATATTCAGGAACGAATAAGCCTTTTATCAGATCACTAGTATATGTCAATGTCACCATGTCAACTGTGTTCTGCATATGAGGTCTTTCTGTAGAAAGCCTTTCCTAATCCCTCCCCAATATGAATTTATTCCTTCCTGTCCTTCTCTCTCCCCTTTCCCACCCACCATCCACTGGCTCTCCAGCAGTCTATATGTCTGCTTTCAGCATTATTAGACTGATCTCCTTGAAGGCAAAAAAAAAAAAAAAAATCTGATTTCATAGTTGTTTCCCCAGAGCCAAGCACAGTTCTTAGTACCCAGTAGGTCTTCAAAAACATGTTGAATTAATGAAACCCAAAGTAAAACTCAGTTAAAACCCAGGTCATGTTATAGAAAAACAAATATGTGACAGGTGAAACTCTATCTTCTAAAGCAGTGTTTCTGCAATGATAGAATGTTCTCAATCTGCTCTGTCCAATAGGGCAGCTGCTAGCACATGTGGCGACTAGCATGTGAAATGTGGCTCATGGAACTGAATTTATTATTTTATTTTAAATAGCCACATGAGCTAGTGGCTACCATGTTGGACAGCAGAGCCTCCAGGCCACACATCTCTATGCAATATGGACCAGATATGACATTGTTAGCCAGGGAAGCAGGCATGCATCTTGTTACTTATATCATAGAGACTAGGAGTGGGGAGATTGTGAATGATACAACACACAGGTCTATTGCTTTATGTACTAGAACACATCGAGGCTGGAGAAATCTGGTAATGTGGTGAGGTTAAGCAAATGCTAGTTTAAAATGGATCATCAAAATGGAAAAGCCTGTCTCCAGTGTTTTATGCTGGGTATCCACTTCCTGTCTACTGTAAAGACCATTTGGGGAAAAGAAATGTAGCTAGCTTCATGTGCTGCCTTGGAGTAATGAACTGCCCTTGACTGCTATTAGACCCCATAATGCATTCAGAGTTCGATTTCCCTGACAAGCCATTTACTTAAGGGTCTGGATAATATAAACAGGGACAGGAGGTCAGGGAGGTAGTGACATTATCCTGAGGCCAGCACTGCTCTACCAAAACATAAATGTCTCTGAACTGAAAATGGCAACTGGCTTTGCCCCTTGGGGAGGTCTCCATGGCCATCTCAAGTAAAAGTTTATTTTAAAAATGAATAGAAGTCTTATTCTCCTCAAGATGAAGAGTGAACTGTGGCTCTCTCTCCTTCATTTCACTTCATGGATGCTCATTTTGTCTTTTTTTTTCTTCTGTTCCTTTTCCTTCTTCAAGTACTTAAATGTCATCCACCAGTTCTGGGTTCTTATTCTGAACATGTGTGTCGAGGAAGGGGACAGATGGAAGCCGGGGAGGAGGAGGACTATGAATAAACTGCTTGTGCTGCTGGGCTGGGGGACATTTTTAGTACAAAATTAAGGTAATTTCTGATATTGACATGAATGAAACCTGAGGGGATCCACTCAAGTGTGCCTTGGTGACTGTACTTCTAGGGACCAAAATACCTATCTCCTTTCCAAAATGATCACGTTCATATTTTTCTGAATGCAGCAACAGTGTAATTACTGTATTTGATTCTTCTGGTTCCCAGGACGTGAGGGCTCAGGCAAAGCCATTGGCTGCTACAGAAATAGAGGTACTTGGAACCCCAGAAGGTTGAGGTTGCGGTGAACTTGATGGTGGCTTTTCTTCGTAGAACTGCAGCTTCCCTGCTATCCTCTCTTTTTACTGTTAGGGGAGTGATTGCTCCACATTGTCACTTAAGCAGGTCCCCCCACCAACCCGGGTCAGTGGAGAAGCTCTAGAATTGTGACTTACTACATAATTATCTATCAATTATCTAGCAAATTAGGCTACGTTCCCTCCTGGAGCCCTAGAGTCTTCACCCACAGAATAGGAGATCATGACAACTGCCCCACTGGCCCTTGGGATGTTGCACTGTTAACTATAGGGTCTGAGAAGGAAGATGGAAAAGTAGAACCTTCTTTGCTAATCTGTGGTGTTCATGAAGACCAGAGCATCTTGCCCATAACAGATGCATTTCTCTCCTTTGGGTCTAGGTTGCTTCGAATGCTGCATCAAGTGCCTGGGAGGAGTCCCCTATGCCTCTCTGGTGGCCACCATCCTCTGCTTCTCCGGGGTGGCTTTGTTCTGTGGCTGTGGACATGTGGCTCTTGCAGGCACTGTGGCGATTCTTGAACAACACTTCTCCACCAACATCAGGGACCATGCCGTGCTGAGTGATGTGTAAGTACCTGCTTCCCTTTAAAACTGTGTTTAAAACTCAACAACCCCATGATGTTTTCAGAAAGACGACAGTGTGCTCTCCTGGCAGAAAGCTGATGCTTTTCATGAAAGCATGCTGTATGCAGATAGAAGAAGGTCCATGAGAGAAGGAAAAAAAGAAAGGGCCAAGAAGGCAGTGGGTGTTTGGGATCTCACTTGGGAATGGCAAGCTTCACACATAGGATATCCACACACTGTAGCCTTGGACATGGGGGCCGGTGGCAGGGTGATGCTGCGGATCACTGCCAGTTATCATGGTTCCCAAGTAAGAGGCGCCCTCCAGTGGTCTCACAAGAAACGACCATCCCTGGAATAATAGGAACCCTATTGAGGACTGTCCTCTAATTCTACAGGAGCAGGACTTTTGACATTAATTCTTCAGGCAGAAGAACAAATCCCAAAACACCTTCCAATGCAGAAAAGGGAAAGTTTGGGGGAGTTGAGCCCCAAATCTCTGCCTCCCCATTCTGGAACCATTCTCAGTGGAGTTTCAACAACTGCCATGCAGATTCTCCTAACGGTACAAGCCCCAAAGCAGTGCATTCATATACGTCATATACTTTCCCTATTGCCTCCAGTATTTTCTTTTTCCTTCCTTGACCTCCAAAGTCTCACTGTATTTAGGTGCCTTGTGATTATAAAAAAACTTCCCCACCAGACTGAAAAAGGCACGGATGAATTTTTATGGATCAATAACGAAGTCATGTTGGAAGAGTCCTTAGGGGATGTTATTCTGTTTTATCTATTCACGAATGATATCCAAAGTAATGAGCAGGGGTAGGTGAAGTTATAAGGAGGATCAAACAGGACAAGGGACTTAATGAATACAACTGTGTGCAAAGAAGACCAAGAATATTTACCGTGACCAACCCTGGGAAAGGTGTGCTGCTTTAATTAGCTAGTGAACTTGATGAGTGGCTCTCAGATTTCCATGAATCCTTAAAAATTCCCCATGCCCATGCTTTGCTCCAGACCAATTAAGTCATAAGCTCTAAGGATAGTACCCAGGGACCAGTATTTCCTAAAGCTCCCCCGGTAGTTCCAAAGGGCAGCCAAAGGTTGAGGAACAGTCATCTGGGTCCCTGTCAGCTTTCACAGGACAAAATTAGTTGTAAATTAACTTTTTGTACTATAACCTCTTGACCATTATCACTTATGTAGTGAGAATCTCAATGCAAAAAAAAAAAATCTGCCCAAGTTATTTCTTAAGGAAGCCTGAGTGCTTACTTAGGAGCCTTATCAGAATAACATTAGCCAGTAGGCCTGGTTGGGAGGCATTTGATATGGCAGAAAGAACATGCTCAATGCCTTTCTTGACTTATTTGCAAAATGAGGATTCTAACCTCCACGGCACAGGACTTGGGTAAGTATTACAAGATTACACCTGGGCCTCTGCCCCTGACCGAAGGAAAAGTCTCTCTTGTCTGGGAAGGCTGTGCACCTCAACAGTGGGCCCACCTTGGAAAAAAGGCCCAGGATGCAGTGGGGTGGGCAGGATTGCCTGTCCGGATTGCCCACAAGCCCACTGCAGCCATGAGAGTGGCAGGAGATGCCACAGGACACCATTCTCATGTCCTCCCTCCAGAGGTTGAAAACGCTGTTTAGCAGGCAGTGGATTTAAATCCTCAGGCTTTCCTCTTCCTTTCTGTAGAATCCAAATGATGCAGTATGTCATCTATGGAATTGCATCCTTTTTCTTCTTGTATGGGATCATCCTGTTGGCAGAAGGCTTTTACACCACGAGTGCAGTAAAAGAACTTCACGGGGAGTTTAAAACCACCGCCTGTGGCCGATGCATCAGTGGAATGGTGAGTATGAATCTCAGATTGTCTGATGCACAGCCAGAGCCACACCTCTCTGTACTGTGTAGCTGAGAAAAGCTACGAGCTGAGAATGCAGGGAGAGTCCATGACACACATACAGGCACACCTCGGAGATGCAGTAGGCTTGGTTCCAGACCACCACAATGAAACCAGTCATAATCTTTCTGCTGCTGGAGGGTCTTTGCTTTTAGCTTGTAAAACACACATCTCTGAAGTTCAATAAAACCGAAGTATGCCTGTAGTGTTCTTAATTTAGAGTTTGGAATTTGAAAGTACCTTCAATATATTATTGATAATAAATTAAAGTATATGGGGGGAGGTAGTATTACATCAAACATTTCCCTTATCAAGGTATAGGTAATGAGGGTATTAAAGATTTTTCAAATATAAAGTTCCCACAATAAAAGGAGAAGACTTGGACATCGTCTCAATGTTCTCTTCATATCTTGAATGTGGATTGTGATCCTGAAGCCTTACACGTACTAGCCACTCAACCCCCTTAGAGTTTCCCTCTGGGATGCAGCTCTTTATTACCTAGTCTTTTTTAAAAAAAAATTATTGATTTCAGAGAGGGAGAGATAGAAACATCAATGATGAAAGAATCACTTATCAGCTGCCTCCTGCACACCTCCCACTAGGGATCGAGCCTACAACCGGGGCAGGTGCCCTGACCAGGAATAGAACCCTGATACTCTGGTTCATAGGCCGATGCTCAACCACTGAGCCATACCAGCCCTATAACCCAGTCTTTTAATGAGCTCTTTCTAAGCTCTGTTCTCCTCTAGATCAGAGGTCAGCAAAGCTTGTTTGCCCAGGGCCAGAATGCGATCAGTTCAGGCTCTGCCTGCGACTCACCTCATGGTGTGTCATTAAGGACAGAACTCTGAATGCTAGAGGCCACCAGAACAGAAATGTCCCCACAGGCCCTCTCCACTGGGCACCGGCTATCCTGGGAGCCCTGACCGCTGTGGGAAAGGGAGGCTCACCAAGCAAAGAATCACCAGCCCCTTTTCAAGTCTTTGTGGTGTATTAGAAAGCAAGTTTTCTTCTGCAGGGCCAGAAAAGAAAGCCAAGTCTGGAGTGGCCCACCCGTAAGCACTGGGGAGGGAGCCTGTGAAACTGCTGAACTCTGCTGCTTTGAATACTTTTAGAAATGCAAATGCTTCCCAAAGTGTAAATGCCCTTGAGATAAAATGCCTTGTTCCTGCAGTTTCCTGGGATGACCGACAGGAGGTGACCTGTCTTGAGCCGACCCCAGGCCAGCCTGGCACGACCCAGGTATTTCCTGCAGTGTGGAAAGCTAGATGGAACCTTCACCTCTTCAGCAGCAGCCTGAAAAACTAAAAAGCCAAACTAGGATTCCGAACCTTCACCCACACGCTCCGTGGGTGCACATTCTGAAAATATAAATACCCCAATGTGTTTGAAACAGCCTTTCAAAGTTCTCTGAAAACTGGTAGTCAAGGCAGGTTAAGAAGAAACTTAAAGCAATGTGATTATATTCTCTGTTGCAACGTGGGGGTGAACACGGTGATTTTGTCCTAAGCCAGGGCTTTGCTTGTAGAGTCGCTGTGAATCTTAAAGATGAAAACAACTCAGGGGAAATGAGAATTTGATCAGATTCACTGTGCATTAAACTTGTGTGCAAGGCTATTTTAAACTTTTAATACAGGTTCAAGATCTAATGCTTTTAGTAATTTCACAGGATCATGAAACTAGTGAGGTTGCTTTTGAGAAGGGATGTCTTGTATGACTATTATTCTATCCATCTATTATGTAAAAGAACTTAATTTGGGGGAAATTAATATGGTTATAATTCAAGTGTCGTGTGAAACCACCCAGACACTGTCCCATGGTGAGTACAGAATTGATGTTTAGGAAGAATGCCACATGGAAGGTCCTGTCACTAATTAGCTCTGTGATCTTGGACAAGGGATCTCATCTCTTGAAAATCTCTGGTCCTTGTTAAAAGGACTTTTAACCAGGCTTCGGTAGTAAACATTTTCCATACTCTCTCTCTGGAGAGTGTGACCACCCTACCCCAGCGGTCAGCCTTGGTTCTCCTTTCCCTTGTCACTACTGTGGCCGGACGGTGCTCTGAATTGAATGCATCCCACAGGTTTGGTATCAGGTCAGAAATGCAGAATCATTCCTCCCAGGCAGTGCGCCTTGGCAGGTCCAGTGACGATTCTTTGTCCTTTTCGGCTTAGTTTGTCTTCCTCACCTATGTTCTGGGAGTGGCCTGGCTCGGTGTGTTTGGTTTCTCTGCGGTGCCCGTGTTTATGTTCTACAACATATGGTCAACTTGTGAAGTCATCAAGTCACCCCAGACCAACGGGACAGCCAGTGTGGAGCAGATCTGCGTGGATATCCGACAATACGGTACTTCCTTTTAATCCCCCGTTAATGTTTATGCTCTCATGTGTAAGTCTGCACCTTCATTATTAAATGGGCCTCTTTTTAATCATCATGATCTCTTTCATACCTTTTCTGTTAGAATGGAAAGATCGTTAGGGTCTTAGTTTATAAAGGGTGCCATTTAAAATTTTGTTATATTTTCAAGAAAGTAGCAAACATTTTTTAATAATGAGAAGCTAATTCATAATGCAATTGAATAAAAAAGATGATGTCCACTATAAAAAGTTTACGTATTTTCAATATTCCAGTTTTGTATCATCTTTCCATCCAAAACATTGCATGCCCTGTATAATCCAATTAATTTGTATGTCCGACTCTTCAAAGCAGGTCTTTTTAAAAATGACCAATTGCTTCAACTTCATCTATACTGAAAAACACAACATAAAATCCAAAAATATTTTAAAGCCATGAGAACATATTCTGTAACAGCTGGCAGCTGGAAACAGGTTCAAACATGTTTTCAAATGAATGGGATCATCCCAATAGGCAGCTACGGTTGGTTCATTTTGACAAGCCACAGAAGGGGCCATTGCTGTGCCTGTCAATTAATTTGAGACTTGATTTCCCTGCTGAGTGAGAGAAGGCAACATCCCCTATGTACGGAGTTTAATTAGTGTTTCTAGCCAGGATGGCAGAAATCTGTTCTTGGCAGAAACTAGGGGAAAACAGCTTTTCATTAGAACCGAAGAGGAAGTAACTGTTCTTTCAGAGTTTTTTTTTTTTTTTTTTTTTTCTTTCAGAGTTTTGAGAGAGAGAGAGAGATGACTAGCATTTCATTTTTGTTGCTTGTTTTTCCCGTGTGACTTATCCTTAGCCTCTTACCTTATGATATAATAGGAAATTTGTTTTAAATTGCCCATCAGCCTAATAATCTTTTCTCATAAAGACCAAGGCTCAACCACACTTCTTTTCGATGGATTGAAAACAGAGCCTAAAAAACAGAGCCTAAAGTTGATTTTAAAGTATTTGTAAATCAATGTCTAAATGTATTGGTAATCATCTTTTTAATCTGTATTTTAAATCGCCGGTTCCACTGACAATTTAGAGACTCGTCATTTCCCATTCTTCTGAAGCATGAAGACTTATTCTTGGCCCACAGCAAGGATGGAGGAAATCAGGAATGTTTTAAAATCCTCCTTCCTTACCTCCTGGGGAAGTGTAAATTGAGCTGAGTTCAATATGTAAGCATGCACCTGCTCATTAATGGCAAAAAGAGCAGCAGCCCCCAATGCACAATGTTGCTGCAGGGAGGAGTCCAGGTTACAGTGAGAAAGACCACAGACCGTGCTGGCCACACTCTGTGATGAAGGTCAGTGTTTTCAATCCCAAAGTATTTCCAAAACATTTGTAAAACACAATAAAAATGGCCCAGCCGGTATGGCTCAGTGCTTGAGAATCAACCTATGAAACGAGGAAGTCGCTGTTCCATTCCAGGTCAGGGCACATGCCCGGGGTTGCAGGCTGGATCCCCACTAGGGGGCGTGCAAGAGGCAGCCAATCAATGCTTCTCTCTCATCATTGATGTTTCTATCTCTCTCTCCCTTCCTCTCTCTGAAATAATTTTTTTTTTAAAAAAATTATGAATATAAAAGCAAAGACATACAAAATACAAGTCCAAATTATTTAACAAAAACAAATTACTCTGTCAAACTGCCATGAAACTTTCTGAGCACAGACTCTCAATTTCACAACTTATCTCATGGCAAACCACTAACAAAGAGACTGAGTAACAAGGCCACAGACCAAGGAATCATGAGGAAATGAACTTGACCTCAGCATGATGAAATGCTTTATGGGGCGGGGGGTCCTCCTGGAGCTGCTCAACTATGATTCATAGATACACAGGAGGGGAAAAAATCATTTTTTACAGATATCAGCTCCGCTAAACAAAGCATGATTTGTAGAAAAAATAGTATCAGGTTAAGTCTCTTACAGACTAGTTGACTTTACTCATGCCCTATAGTCCAAATGGGACTTAATTATTCCGAAAGGCTGTTTTGCAGAGGGCAAGTGTGTTCATTGTTGATGACGAATATGACCTACAACTGCACTGTAATTGGCTTCCAAAGTGGTGAGGATGGGAGAGCATGAAGCATTGTAGTTTGCCCTAACACCTAACTCTCTATTGGGTCTCACTTCACAGGTATCATTCCTTGGAATGCTTTCCCAGGAAAAATATGCGGCTCTGCCCTAGAGAACATCTGCAACACCAACGAGGTAAACCACTCTCCTGTCAAAGGCTCACAGATGATCACAACAAAACAGAGTCCATTCTCCTGGGGAGCAAAATCAGGAGGGATGGCTCAAATGCTGTCAAGGAAAGACCTTTTTGCAGGCTTTTAAAGAGTGAACTGTATGTAATCAGTACTCAACCACTTTTGACCTAAAAGATGGCCCTTTCATTCAGTGAGGATCGTAGCAATCAGAAAGCTTTCTCTTTCTGCAACAATTTGTAAGTGACCCCAATCCTGATTTTTGAAAGTATAAAGAGACTCTTTTCTTTCACCTTCAGACAGTTTTTCAAATTAGAACATGTCACAGGACAAGTGTAAATTAATTTTCAGGGGAAAGTGTCCCCTGTATTTGTATGTAAGTCAAAATTTTATAAATCAAGTTACAGTCAGTCACTTATATTGCCAGAGTGATTGCTGTTATTTCTAGGGCACCCTTAATTAGCACTAAATCTTAACATTCTTTGCTTTAAAACCTCTGGCCCTAGAATATTCTTCAGGCATTGGTTTATAAAACTCTTAAATGCACCAGTAGAAGCTTGCATGTATAAGAGAACCCTAATGTGCTTTTAGAAAGCAATCAGTTACTGAAATAATGAGCCCCTGCCGACCTGGCTGGTCAGTGTGTATATCCATAGTGTGGAATGGCTCAAGGCAGGGAATCCCAACCTTGGCTGCACATTGCAGTCATTGAGCAGCATTGTAATATACTGATGGCTGAGCCCCAGCCTCCAGATCAGTGGTTCTCAAACTTGGCTGCACATTAGAATCACCTGGGAATCTTTTTAAAATCCTGATTTCTGGGCCTCATCCTCCAGAAATTCTGTTTCTTTGTTATTAATGTTGTGGCCCTACCCCTAACAGAGTGACAACACATCCTACAGGAGGCGGAAAGCTACAGGAGAGGGCAGGGAACAATTTGTTATGGGGTGAGACTCTAGGGGCCTTGGTTGGCAAACTGCAGCTCACGAGCCACATGTGGCTCTTTGGGCCCTTCAGTGTGGCTCTTCCTAAGCCTTAGGAGTACCCTAATTAAGTTAATAACAATGTACCCACCTATATAGTTTAAGTTTAAAAAATGTGGCTCTCAAAAGAAATTTCAATCGTTGTACTGTTGATATTTGGCTCTGTTGACTAATGAGTTTGCCGACCACTGCTCTAGGGCATCAGAAAGTTTAAACACCCGCCAGGTGATTCCAACTGGGCTGGACTGGAACACACACTTATACGCAGCCTTGCGTAAACACTTAAAGATGATGCAGCATGTTGGAACGGGAGTAGGCCATTTCATTACACACGAAATGCTCATGTTGGTGCCCTCTTCTTTCCTAGTTCTACATGTCCTATCACCTGTTCATTGTGGCCTGTGCTGGAGCTGGTGCCACCGTCATTGCCCTGGTGAGTAAGGGCCTGAGGATTGGCCTGTTCTAGCTCCCCCTCCCAGCAGTCTCTATAATGACAGGTTTCCCTTCCAGGAAACACTTCTAGGACTCAAGGTGGGTTAAACTTCACCTGTGTAAACCTATCGCATGTCTAGATCGCAGGGTGTACTAGTTGGCTGTACTGGCACTGATTGTAGGTAATGTAAATTGGATTCTGTGGAAAGAAAGGGGACCAATACCTGGAACACCTGTTAACTAGGACGGGAACATTGCAATGTGGCTTATTCAGCCCTTACTTTCATGACTTCAATCATGGATAAATGGTCATGTGAGGAAATGTGCATATATACATACACACTTGTACCGTTGATCTTGTGCACAGAAGTTATGCTTAATAAAGTTTTCTCAACACCGAATTAACCAACACAGAGCCATTGCTCCTTGGGGGAATACAGGATTAGGTTTCTGCGAGCCTCTGGTCACAACAGTTTTGTCAAACCAATGGAACACAGAAGCCTGCTTTGTGTGATTCTATTCAAAGACATGATTTACTAACACTGAACTCCCGGCCAACAGCACTATGCCTCGTACCCAAATGAAGCTCAGTCAGTACATGTATCCTCTTCAGAAGGCACCTCACAACCTTCTTGCACTTAAAACCACTACACAGCACCTGGAACAGGGAACATTTAGAGTGAAACCACAAGAATGCAAAAAACATGGCACTAAACAGATTGACAAAAAGGACACTTGTGCTCAGACAGAGGTGGAACAAAAAGGCAGTGTCACCTCGGTTGACCTCCACTAGGAGACGAGACTTTCACCACTCTGCACATGTCCATGAATACCATGGAAGTGCTGTGAGTGCTAATGTGGGGGCCACAAAGACATTTTAGTATGTAGGCACACTCGAAAATATAGAATCTGTGAATAATGAGGATCAACTGTATAAACACAAACAGGTGTGTGTATGTATGTATGTGCACTGATGTGTATTTTGGGATGGCTTGGTTTGTGATTTCAAGAAATCTAAGATTGGTGAAGCAAAAGGGGGACATCTCATCAGCTCAGAAATGAGTCATTCCCAGGTTTTCCATCCCTGAAGTCATCCCTTCCCATGACAGCCCATGAAAAGAAAGCACCTGTTCACTCAGAGTGTGACCCATTTTCTGGGCTGCTGCCAGCTCTCTGGGCTTAACAGGCAGGAGAGGACCATTGCTCCTGAGTAGGCAGTTTTGGAAAGATGATGGGAAATGGAGCATTTAGCTTCATCGGATGCTACTGACCCAGAACTGTATCTTGTCATTCTTTAAACGCGTCCTAGTCTTTTTAGTAAACATACCATGGGCCAAGCTGAAGACTGATGCGGTGTATGTGCAATGAGAAAAGGTTTGCGTGCGCTAGATGTGAGAATCGCCTGTGGCGGTTACAAATGGGAAAAAGAAACACCGTAGGCTGAGTTGGCACCCCACCCCACCCAAGTTTAGAAGTGTGGCACTGGCCCTCACTGCCTATATCTTACTGTCCTGTTTTGTTCTCTTCCACCAGCTGATCTACATGATGGCTACTACATATAACTATGCGGTTTTGAAGTTTAAGAGTCGGGAAGATTGCTGCACTAAATTCTAAGTTGCATGAGGCCCATAAGGAGCGTTAGAGAGCTGTACGATGTAGCATGAACATCACTGACACCCAGACTAAAGCAGAGTCTAGGCTTCTGCAGTTTCGCACCAGTAATTTGTAAATAGCTTTAGTCAACTCATTCTGCGTGGAAGGTTAATAAGATGACTTACCGTACGTGAATTACAAAATTATGAGATCTGGCTATTTCCACATTTTGAAAAGGATTCAGTTATTTACTGACATTGCTCAGCACCCATTAAAAATTAATTTTCTTCAACTTAAACTTTAAACAACATCTCTAAGTGAAGTATTAAAACTCTGAAACACCTGCATTTTCCGTTATTTTTACTGGCTTGATAACCAAGTTCAATGGCAAAAATGAACACAGTGCCGAAGATGAAATGAAAGAAAACTGTCTTAGTCTGGATTTTGTTTTGTCAGACTCCTTCTGAAAAATATTTTATAAATATATTTTAAATTTCATTAAAATTTTTTTATGATTGCATGGTTCACTACCAAATAAATGCCCCTCAAGTAAGGTGAGAATCTGAAGTAAAATAAAGGCCACCCATTTGTTTTCTCTGAAAAAAGGATTTATGTGAGTTTATTTTTTTTTTAACATAACACAATCCTTCTTTTCAGAGCCCACAAAATTGATAACCCTAAGTTGTCGGTAAGTAGTAACTGATTCCTTAAAGCCAGTTCTCAAACTGCACATGAGTTTTTAATTTTTTTATTTTAGAGAGAGGAAGGGACAAAGAAATAGAAGACATCAATGATGAGAGAGAAGCAGATTGGTTGCCTCCTGCACACCCCCTTTATTGAGGATCAAGCCCACAACCCAGGCATGTGCCCTTGACTGGGAACCAAACCGTGACCTCCTGGTTCATGGGTCGATGCTCAACCACTGAGCCACACCAACCAGGCACTCGAAAGATTTTAATGGGAAGAGGAATTGTTCCTGGATCTGAAGGTCTCAAGTATGTTGAGAAGGAAATATAAGGAACTTGAGATGTAGATTTTGCAGGAAAGATGAGGAAAATAAATGGGAAAAAGGGTTGACCACATCAACTGTAAAGAATGCCAATATGGATTTTTACATTTTTGAAATGAAATAATGGCAGTTACAAAATGGAAAATGTAGTTTTACTACTAAAAAAATTGTTAACAGAGACTGCATGCTTTGCTTATAGTTCTTAAGTTTGGTTTTGACATTCACTTAATTTTCCCATGTTAAATATGTAGCTCTTTATTACTTACTAAAAATAAACGTTGTTCAGACTTTTAGGCCTTTTGGGTAATTGATTTTTGTCCAATAGCAAAGATCTTTGCACCGCACTTATTTAAAAATAACCACATTTCTGAACTTCTGTATCAGTTTTTAAAATTATTCTCAAAATGGTAAAAAGCACCCTCTATGTGTTCTATTTTTGCTTTTTCTTAATTAACTTTGACCATTTTTTTCAAGTGCATTATGTCGGGATACTAACTTTTCTTCTGCCTTTTAATATTGACTCTACTAGAACATGCTCTCAGTATCTGATGCCTCTGTTTGCAGAATGAGTATTAATATGAAATAACCCTCTCCCTTTCTTACAGTAAAGTCCGTCTAATCTACCTAGCAGCTTGCTTTGCCTCTGACATGCTCACTAGCCATCATGCTCACCCTTCTTTTCCAGATCCACTTCCTCATGATACTGTCTTCTAACTGGGCTTACTTAAAGGATGCCAGCAAAATGCAGGCTTACCAGGATATCAAAGCAAAGGAAGAACAGGAACTGCAAGATATCCAGTCCCGGTCAAAAGAACAACTCAATTCTTATACATAAACGTTTGCCAGAGTGCTTCCGCCGACACATTGACAGCTGTGACAAATCATCAGGCAGCTGCTCTGCAGTACAGATGTGTTTCCCACCAAACAAACTCACATAGAACTACAAACACTTCACTGTCTATCTCAAGCTGCTGGGATGTATTTCTAGAAAAACCCTCCAGTAGGTAAACCTTTTCCTTTAGAACAGATACAGGAGGTTTCATGTTAGCCATTTTAAAAGGCAACACTTTTTGACAAAATGATTGTTCATCTTTTTGAAATTTGTGGCATGTTCACATTTATTGCTAGAGCAATCCTACCAAGATAGGAATTGAGAATATGGCATAGTCCTTGATAGGGACCCATGATGTGCCAGCACCAAGGGAAGGGACCATAAATTCATGTGTGCCATCTGTCCCTAAACAGATGTACCTAATAGGGAATAAAATGGAATTGGTGTGAAGTTCCATTTCTGACAGCCAACATTTATTAAACAGTGGCTTCATCAAAGATAATGTAATTCTTACAATTGATTAGGACACTATTAACTTTATGATCCAATCAGAAATCTTTTTTCAATAATGCTAAAATGTGCTACTATAATTCTGCTATAACTACCATTAAAGAAGCTGAATTCTGACTCCTTGACAAGCTTTCTGGAATCAATTTTCTAAAAGACTTCATTGTAATAAAATGACCCACTTGTCATCATTCTTCTTGGGAAATAAATGTCAGCTCAGCCTTAATGAGTATTTGCTGTAAATTTCTAAGAACTTGCATCACAACGGGAGATCCAAAATACTTCATAGAATTTTTTTCCACAAACATTTTTTTTAAATTAAGAAGTGTTACCTTATTAAAATGACCACCATTCTAAACCATTTTTATGTGGTCTGAAAAGTGAGTTTACAGTTTCATACCAACTATCTAAAACCTAATTGCAAATAGACCACAGACCTCCTACTTTTATAGACTTGAATACTTAAGTAATTTAAATTAGGGTATTTATTTCACTTTTTCTTATCTAAATCTTAGTTTCCTGGAATAATCAAAGTTCCATGTTCAGCAAAACAACAACTGCTTGAGTTTAAGCCATTTTCAGAAACTTGCCTTCTAAATCATTGTGTACCAGAACATTAAGTGACTATAGGTATTGGGTATTAGTGATGGTAAACTTTGTGTTGTTCTTTATGAAATGATACATATAACTGTTGGGTGCATCCGTGCTTTTTAAAGGGGGCTGCATAATATAGGGTTAACTATGTATATTCATGTTAAGAATTAACTTGTGGTTTGGCTGTTTTCCTGGATTTTAAACATACATGTGCAGAACTGTATTGCAATGAAAGGAAGCATAACTTTATCAACATGCTATTAAAATTGAACAAGTATATTTCATTTGGATTCTTTCAGTTGTGGTTGTTAATGCCTAAACATGCCTATTTGGACCTTGACTATTTTTTTAGTGGGAGAAGCTCTCCCCCGTGTAGAACGGTTGTTCTGGACTAGCTTGGTGATGTGCTTTCTGTTGCATGGCAGACTTCGATGTTTCCTCCGGCAGTGCAGGTGCCATTAGAGTCCAGTGTTCTAGAAGCAGTGTCTAAAGCCTAATTTGACTTTTCTAATTCTGGTGGCTACTACCAAGAATGTTCGAAAGTTTTGTTCAAGTAGTCTAATATTTTTTATGTAAAGAGCATTAAATTTTGCTATGTATAAATTTTTGTAACCTAACAGTGAATCAATATTTTCTATCAGTGCCAAGGGCTTCCTGTAGTTCTATTCCAGTGTTATAATAAATATTTGTAGATAATAGTCAATACTTGTGTATGCTTATTTTAAAGATCTATTTAGGTGGAAATAGTTGTGGATGTACTAAGAAAAATGAAATAAAATTATAGCTTCATTCAGTTGCCTTTTGACATACATAAATGTTCTCTTTCTCCGTCTTCAGTATGGTGTCATTTTTAAATAGTATGCATGATCAAGATTTCACATTCGTATGAAATCCAGCTTTTAAGAGTGCTATGTTTCATTTCTGACAAATCTCTTTTAAGAAAATGACCTCACCCACTAGGGTGTATTTTACATAAAGTACCATTAACACTTTACAGTTCTTTGTGAAAAATATAGACATTTTCTGACTTAATGAAAGCAATATACCTATGGGATGAACACAAAACTTAAGGGAAAGTATAAGGAACAATCTGCATAAGGGTCCATATGTCATTGGCTATTTTACAAACCCGAGGTATAGAAATCTACTGAAAGATTTATTGGGGAATATTTAAAAAGATCTAGAGCTAACAGTGTTTTCTTTTTTTGTTAATCTTCACCCGAGGATATTTTTTCCTTTGATTTTTAGAGAGAGTAGAAGGAAGGGAGAAAGAAGGATAAACATTGATGTGAAACAGATACATATGGATTGGTTACCTCCCACACATGCACTGACCAGGGCCAGGGATTGAGCATGCAACCCAGGCATGTGCCCTTGACCATGAGTGGAACCTGTGAACTGTCAGTCCAAGGGCAACACTCTAACCACAGAGAATCACCAGCCAGGGCTAGAGCTAACAGTATTTTCTAAAGCAGCAGAGCTAAAACTGTTCCTTAAGATTTCATTTTATAATCTGTTTAAAATGACTTCTGTCAGAATGATTACACATTTGAATTTTCTCCAACTTTTCTTAGTAATAATCAGCTTTTCGCCTCCAGATAACCGCCCTTCATTCACAATCAGTAGGAGACCAAATCAGGAGCCCAATTAGTTTGCTGTTTGTCACACTATACTTCATACCTTCTGTTAATGTAGCATTTGTGTAATTATTTCTTAAGTTACATGAATCACCTAAATAAATGTTGTGTAAATCATGGCTAGATAAGATCACGTGCGGTCTCTTTATTATCAACAGTAATCATGCCACAAATGTGAAAATCTTTAGCAGATGGAGCTGTTTCCATTTATCTAGTTATACCTTGTGAAATAACTTTTAAGAGGTGAAAAGAAAGTCAAAATTTTAGGGGCCACTCATTGAAAAACCCAACAAGTGTGTGGCAGATTGTGCTCAGTGGTTAGTGTCGGCCTGCGCACCAGAGGGTCGCAGGTTCCATTCCCGGTCAAGGCTATGTACCTGGGTTGCAGGTTCAATCCCTAGCCCTGGTCAGGGTGTGTTCAGGAGGTAACCAATCCATGTCTCTCACATCAATGTTTGTTTTTTCTCTCTCTCTCCCCCTCTGTCCCTCCTTTCCACTCTCTTCTTAAAAAAAAAAAAAAAAAAGGCAATGGAAAAAATATCCTTGGATGTGGATTAACAAAACAAAAAAAAAATAGTAATCATGAAAAAGAAAAATCAGCAAGCAAAAATACTTGGTCTACTAAAAAATGAGGACCAAAATTCCACAATAAAAATTTGGGAAAAAATCCTTTTAGGGCTTTTTAATGCTATGCTAGCCATAATATTAGAACATTTAAGAGACAATCCACTTTGCTATTTACATATTTTCCTAAACAATGGCATATTTCTCTAGCTAGTGCAAGGCTAATTGTTCCCAGATGTTTGTAAAAAATTATAGATGTTGCTTAAGGTAACTTTTCAAAATAAATATTTAGGATAAGTAAAACTACCAAGTTTTGAGGAAATAAAAATGCAAATAGAAGTCAGGTTTGGAAAAGAGCATTCTTTTTCTAAACTGCTCCATTAATCTTCCTCACTGTTTTGATATTTAAACTTACTGAGCCCTGATTGGTGTGGCTGTTGATTGGAGCATCGTCCCATACACCAAAAGATCTCAGGTTCGATCCCCTGGTTGGGACTCATGCAGGAGGCAATTGATTGGTTTCTCTCTCACACGGATGTTAAATATGTATAAATATTATTGTACCCACCTGGGAAGATTTAAACAGAGACTCACTCAGGGGGTCCTGTGGAGGCAGAAGCAGGGGAGGCTGCAGGGAGTCTTGCATCTCGAAATCTGTATTCTTAGGCATTCTAGGTAATGTGCCATCTGAAATGCTACATGAGAAATGACTTACTTTTCTTTAAATGGAATCTGCCTTGAGATAGGTGACAACAGCACATTTCTGAACTACTCTCTCCCATGGGTACACTGAATGTACCACTATACATGGAAGTTTTTCTGAAAAAAATTAGCCGAGCTCTTCTTATACATGCAGCCCCATCAAGAAAATAGCCCCATCGAAACAGGCCGGAAAGTCTGAGACATGGTCTCACCCCATCCGCAGCACACCACCATACAATCAGGAGGGGACGGACCCCTGACCTCGTGGTTCTCCTGAAGAGCAAAGGATTTGCACCCCATATCTAGTGCCCCATCTTTTAAGACCCACCTGAGATGGGCTCCCAAACACCTCACTCTTAAGGCCAACTGAGCTTATGGCCATAAAGCCCACAAGAATGTAACATACAAACAGTTCTAAACCAGCTCTAGATTCACCAAGTACTGCTTTCCCTGAAACTGGTCTATTTGAATATATTAACAACTGCTGCCTGAGAGTCTGGTTTCTTTCTAATTTAGCACACATCTAGGGGCCAAGTGCCATCCTCCCTAGACACTAAAGAAGCCAAGGATGCCTCCCCCACCAGCTCCAGATCACCAGTATCTTCCAGAAAGAAGCTTATATACACATCTCTGCCTGGTGTTAGCAGCTGCCACCCAAGGGACAGGTCCCCGGATTGCCTGCCTCTGACAGCCAGAAGTGATTACATTCACAAGTCCCACGGGACTGTAGCAAACAAAGAAGCAGTTCTTACCAGGCGTAAAACCACACACCCACAGCTATACACCCAGGCCAAATGCAGAGGGAGTAGGCAAAAATATGCATCTCCCAGTTTGTCCCAGGAGTTCTACAGAAGTCCAACCCTCTGTGCAGGTGATACATTCCAAGAACCTCAGTGGATGCCTGAAACCACAGATAGTACCAAACATTATATATACTATGTTTTTTCTGTACATACATACCGAGGATAAAGCTTAATTTATAAATTAGGCACAATAGATTAACAATAATAAAGTAGAACAATTACAACACTATACCTTAATAAAAGTTATGTAAATGTCTTCAGGGTCATTATTAAGTAAAATAAGGGTGACTTAAACACATACACTGTGCTACCTCAGCAATCGATTTATAACTGAAATGGCTACTAAGTGACTGATGGGCAGGTGGCACATACAGCAAGGTGACACTGGACAAAGGGAGGATTCACATCCCAGGTAGGATGGTGTGAGATTTCATCACGCTACTCACGACATGCAATTTAAAACTTACGAATTATTTCTAGAATTTCCCATCTGATATTTTCAGACCATGGGTAACTTTGTGCCAAAAGGGAAACACTGGATAAAGGGAACTACTATACACACTTTCCCAGTCGCTGTCAGAGCCTGGCTTCCAATCAGACTGCATCTAGGTGCTGACTGTGATCATCCCCATTGGGGCACTGACAGTATAGACACCACCTCAACTACTGGACATCACCTAGAACAAAGGCGCAATCACAAAGGTTTGAAAGGCAACCACTTTGTTATAGAACTTAAGGGCCAGACAAGTATCACTGGCACAAACAAAGCAGCCCAGCTTGTATTTGTAAAAGAAAATGTTCGGCTCTAGAACTTTCCTGGAATTAACCAGACAAATCCTTCCTGTATTAGCTGGGTGGTCATCAATACTGAGTCTCATGTCCCGGGAAATGCCCTGCCAGGACTGACCAGCAGATCCTGAGTGACAGATGATTCTTTTGACATGTTTTTTTTGTGAGAGGGTTAAGGGACTGTGTAGCTAAAGGAACCCGCCTTGTTTGCCTGTCTCCTTAGGCTTTCATTGCAATAGTTTGAATTAAAATTATCTTTAGATGTTACTAGTAGGGTATTTTTGAGAAAACATGTATTTATAGTGTCTTTAAAACAAGGATGTCCTGAAGTCTAAATATAAACATTTCAGTTAAACACCCGGGGGCTTAGACTTGTTTGGAAAAGTCAAGGCAGGGTCTGCTGCCTTTGGCAAGAATCCCCTAGAGGCCTCCAACCTTTCAGAGAATCCTCCTCACAGACTTTTCAACCAAGTCCCGTGTTTCCCCACAATGCCCCAGTCCAGGCAAACCGGGATGGTTGTTCACCCTCAGAGCAGTCCTGGATGCACTTTTAGTGACCATAATGGCAGTGTCGTTAAAGAACTTTCCCCGAGATGCTCCCACAGCAAGTTGCTGGACTGAGAGCTTCAGGAGTACGAAGATGAAGAAATGGGGGCAGCAGCAAACGGGTCTCCTCTTACCTGTGTGGAAGTTATACTGTGCTGCGTTTGAGTGCACTTACCTTGATTTGGGTGAAGTGCAGTTTCTAAAGGTTATCCTGGAGAGGAGCATCTCTAGTGACTGAGCCATTCCAGGTCCTGGGATGTCTTTCACAGGAGCAGCTTCAGCACAGCCCAGGCTAGAGGCAGTGCCGGTCTCAACACCTGGGTCCTGGCTGCACAACTGGACCATCATAAGACCTTGGTCAAGTCTCTAAATTGTGCCCCATGTTCCCTAATCTGTAAAATATGGACAGTCACGGTACCTACACTTCATATGGCTGATATGAGCATTAAGTGAGTTAATACAGGTATAGGTTTAAAGTGTACCTGGCACACAGTAAGTGCCAGTAAATGTTATCTCCTCTTCTTACCATCTCAGGGTTTGGGTTCATTCTCAAGACAAAGATGTCAGAAGCAACGCCCTGTATGACAAAGATGTCAGAAGCAAAGACTGTACGATTTCGGAAGCCTAGAATGGAAAACCTGTCTTTATTTTGAGGGACAAATCAGAAGGATAGGGCTGGGGAAGACGCCCTCCAGTTTGACAGGCAGTAGCCCAACTCTGGAGAGCAGAAAACACAGAAGAAACTTCCAAAATGCAGGATTAGAATTTGACCAATACGTTTTCAAAGAAATAAAA